TCATCATCATCGTCTCCTACTTTTACTTCTTGTTCTTACTTTTCCTTTGTATTATCTAAAAAACATCAAGAGAAATCACACAACAGATGCTTTTACACGTCTTCTCTTCTTCTTCTTCTCGTTCTTTTTCTTTCTGTAATGAAGTTGTATATTTAAACATATCAACATTATTTTTTTCCGATTTGATTCGATGGTTTTGACGCTGTATGCAACCGCTACATGCCCCATTATAAAGCACATTTTTATTTGTTGTGTCGTTTGGGTTTATTTGTATTAATTATTATTACTCTTTTTTTTTGTTCACCGGAAAATTCCCAAGTTCAGTTTTTTTTTTTTGTTCTTTCATTCTTTATTTTATTTATTTTTCATCAGACTTCTCAAACATTGAATTAAAATGTTAGACAAAAAAAGAATACGTTTAGCTCCTTAACGCAAGATTACCTCGATAATGAGAATCGAACGTAACGAATCTATATTCGGAACGCGTGATTTGGGAGACAATCACTTGACTCAGTCAGTCCGTTCGGTTTTGTTCCGTTCCGTTTCGAAGGACTCAACACTCGAACCCGGAAATGCTTCGGTTGATTTTCGATTTTTGGCTTGGTTAATATTGCCTGCGCCAAGGCTTTTGATTCATTATCGAAACGGATTTTGCTTTTTCCCAGCCCAAAATATCGAAAAGCAACTGTACACTTTGTCTGTAGTTCGGCGGTTTGTGGCGCGAATTTCAATTAGAAAATCGAAAAACACATACCCAGAGAGGGAGAGAGAGAGAGAGTCACTGTTTCCTGACCGATATTGCCCCGAAAAAGAAGTCATTTTGCTTGCAGTATCTGAGGAAGTCCGGTGCGCTCGTAAACCAGAACTATTACAATTTTTTTTATACGTTATCAATTTCGGTTTTCAGTGACCACGAAAAAAAAAGTGCAAAGACAAATTTCTCTTCTTCTTTGTGTTCATTTTCAATTTGGGATATCTCCAAACATTTCGTTTGCGCCAAATAGTTTTGTTTTGTTCATATTCTATATACATACATTCCGAGCAAATTCATTGATTTGTGTGTTTTCGTTTTTTCTTTAGCTCAATGTGTAACTTAGATTTGTGTATATGCAATTTTTTGTTGTTGTTGCTGTTGTTTTTTTTTCTTGTTTGTTTGAAATGTTTAAAATAATTTAAAAAAAACAAAGATTTTCTTCTTATTCTTTCTGTGTTTTCCTTCTTCTTCTTCTTCTTTTTTTTTGGTTTACGCGCTTGAACAATCGATTTCGATTATATCTTTAGGTACGTCAACGAACTGGTAAACTAAACGTTGGCCATCGACTTTCGCCAGGATGCCACGTTGATAGTAGTATCGTAGGGCTCGTCCCATTGTTTCATAATTCATATCCGGCTTGTTTTTGTGCATACCCCATAAACGGGACACGGCCTTTGAGTCGACCAATTTAAAGACGCCTTTGTCGCGATTCGTCCATTTGATAAAACGTGGACAATATTCACGATCTTGCAGTAATTTCAATAAAAATTCCCATAGATACGTTGTAGAACCTTCTCGGCTGCGCCGTTTAACACCCATTTCGATTTTTGGCTTGCGTTGCTTCTTTATTCGACGTGGCTGCAAACCGAACTCAATCATATACGATAAATCATCGTTAACACTGGATGTTGGTGTTTGGATTACACTGTGTGGATGAAAACTTCGCGTTGGTGATGGCGTTTGAAAGTGCGATGGATTGTAAGCACCGTTTATCAAATGGGGATAATAATTTTCGGGCACTGTTCAGTGGGTGGCGGGATCGAAAATGGCAAGAAAAAAAGAAAAAGAAAATTATCAATTAAATTTGTTTGAATTTTTTTTTTTTTGGTTATTGATTAAAAATTTGGATAGTTTTCGGTTCTGAATCTGAAATGCTTAAAATTTCACTCTTAAATATGAGCAATATCCAACGATAATTTGCATCTCAGCCTGCCAAATGCATCATGACTCATTCCAAAACACAATTGGTTCAATTCAACACATATGTGCAAAAACAATTGTCATATCTATAAACGGAGGAAAAAATGAAATCAGGTGACATTTTTCGTGGAAATTAGCTCATTTCTTCTTCGATCGGAATGTTTCGTGAGGCGTTTACCAAAAATATTGGGCAATTTCCACGAGTCAAGCACACGAAAAGCAAACGGCGACATCCAAACAAAACGGTGAATATATATTGAGCGTTGGAGCGCGCATAAAAATCGTTTCTCGTTTTTCTTTGCTGCTTTTTTTCCCTTCACTGTTCTATGTTCATAATGTAAGCGATTATATGCGACCGCCCGATTTTCGTTCTTTCAATTCTCTTCCTGCGATCGCGCCCTAGCTAATGATTCTTTTACTGCTTCTCGTGTGTGTTTTTTTGCGCGCGCGAGCTCGTGAGAGAACTGTGTGTATAAACATAGTCAGTACACACGTAATGTTATGCGCGCTGCTCGAATTGAAGTGTATGCGCTGCTGCCGTTGCTGTGTGTGTTGTTGTTTTTTTTTGCCTGTGCATTGGTTATACATTATGTGCATCTATACCGTTTGTTATAATGTGACCTTCAGAATACGTACAAAGACGATGTGTCGATGACCACTTTTACTGATCATGCAACAAATATTCTGTGTTCTTTGGCTGCTCTCTGTGTGTACATATGCTTAGCTATACACGAAATAATATAGCCGAAGAAGCACACAAAACAGAAGAAGAAGGAACAAAAAACACACAGCAGCAGCAACAACAAGAGCACACAGCGAGCAACGCAGAACGTAAATGCTATATATTACTCAATATAAAAGCGCAAAAACGAAGCAAAAATAGAAGAAGAAAATTAAATAAAAAAAAGGGACACAAAACGAAAAAGCGCGAGACTAGCACATGTGGTTTGAGGAATGGCGAATGATTGTGATGAGGTTACAGTAATAAAGCATTCCTGGTGTGCATGTATGCGTAATAAATATAATCGCACTGTATGCTGTTCTAACTATATACGTATAGCTTGGCTCGCGAAACGATGCGCTCGATAGTGTTGTGTTGTCGATGACGTTTCTATTTTTCGCTGCGCGAATATTGTGTGTTCGTGTTTTTTTTCTTCACTTCTTTCCTTCTTCTGGTGTATGGTTTTGTTGTTGCTGCTGCTATTCGTTTTCTTCATATTTTTCCTCGTATCACATCCTTATAGTCGTCGTCTTCTTTTTTACGCGTATGTTTTCTGTATTTCGACGGGTTCGATTCACATTTGATCCACAGATTCACTCACACATGCATTCGATTTGATATTCGTCAAATTCGTGCTTGCAGATTATAAACAATTTGATAGGCAAACATTGTACAACTTTGCTTTTTTTCGCTTGCCTACTTGCTTCATTCGACTTCTTCATTTTATTCTTCGTTTTTGTTGTTGTTGTTGTTTTTTTTTCGTGTGCAGTAATATCACTTCCTTTTGTGACCGACCGGAGAGCAGTCAAGTGTTATTTAATTTTATTTTTCGAATCAGATTCATTATCTTCAGTGCAATTTATTTCTATAAAAGAACACACAGCCAGAGTCTCTCTCTCTCTCTCTCTCTCTCTCTCTCTCTCTCTCTCTCTCGCTCGCTCGGCAAAGAAGACGAGAGGCGGTGCGGTAGCCACAGAGCAGAGAGAATCATATAAGCAACGAAATGTACGTTAACGGCGAAATAACGATTCTGTTCGCGGAAAACGGGCGACGGGGCCCCAATACATATATACATATATTTTATTTAAAAAAAAAACAGGAATGCAAGCATTTCCTAGGCGGAATCGCTTTACTCAGCAATTATGCTTTATTTTATGGCCGGCTTCTACTTTTCCCTTCTTCTTCTTCTACTTCTACTTCGCTTCAAATCAAACGTTGCAACTTGAAAATTGATTATTTTCAATTTCACTTCAATCGAGTGCGATTTGATAAATGAACATGGAATTTGAACGGATGAAGTTTTTTTTTCGCATCAGAGGAATCGGTTTTTTTGTTGTTATCGAAGCAAAAATAAATTTCCGTAACTTTTTCAGGATTGAAAAAAAAAACATTTCATGGAAAAAATGTTTGTCTTTGTTCATTATGTCGACCAGGAAGTAAAATAAATTCTTGGAGGAGAGAGAAAGTGTTCTTATCGGCTCCATCTCATTTTGTAGAAAGAAAAAACATTCGTCTTATTCAATTTGTTTTCTTCTCTTTTTAAAGGATTTTTCCGTATCAAAATTGGTTTTTGGCCATTCATTCAATATTTATTTGTTTTTCGGATATTCAATGCATGTGTGGACGTGGCGGAAAAAGTTGTACTATTCTTTGTATTGCAACGAGACATCAAAGGTGCACAAAAATTATAGGTTGTATAGATTCTCTCATCGCCTACAGCGAGAAATATAAAAATATTCAGCGGAAGTATGAAAAAAATCCATTTTTTTTCTGCTTTGTGCGAGATAAAAGTCGTGATCTCAGTGAGACAGACTGTGGTAACAAAATGCCATAGGTATTTCAATCCGGTGTGTAATTATATGCAGCTCTCAGTTGGCGTTTATATCAAATTTTTTAATTAATTTCATTGGGAGAATCGCAACGAACAACAGAAAAATATAAAATATCAAACGAAAATAAACAACCGAACAGAAAAAAATAACTTTCATAAAAATAACGTTTGCGATTAAACATCTAAGCAATTGAATATAATAGGACATATTAATAAACGGCAGGCGAACACAGAAAGTGTGTCATCACTCATTAACAATATCATGAACAGAGAGACGCAGCAAGAGATAGAGAGTGTGAGTGAGAGAGAGAGAGCGAAAAAGAGGAAAAATTAAATGAAATATATAATGTACATAAAAGTATCCATTCACTATTCTTATTGTTTTTCGCTTAGGCGAATCTCTCGGTGTAATATTTGTTCATGATTTTGTCGGCCCATCGGTGTGTTGTTTCGTTACCGGATTTGCTTTTTTTTCTTCTTTTTTTTGGTCGTTTGTGCCGTATTTCCAATTCGCCTATATCTCTATCTCCGTCGCATATTCATTATTTCGTGTGTTGTTTGGGCGAATTTGTGGAGTGTGCGCTCGCTTACTCACTCAATCGCTCGCTCACTCGTTCGTTCGTCCGTCCATTCAGTCGCGCTTGCGATTTTTGTGCTGTTATTGCATTTAGCTAAATATATTCCAAAGGAGAATGTACTCTAATGCAAAAAATGCTTGTTTGAAGGCCAATCGTGGTGAGCACATCACTTAATTTTTTTTTTACATTTTTCGCGTTCGCTTGTCATGGTGTGACACGGTATGTGTGTCTGTGTAATTGTACACACACAACCGAACCGGGGCATCAACATGCAATATCACACATGCGAATATACAACTAGCTAATAAATTAAGCGTATATATAGAGATATTTATACCAAGACTTACGTATATATAGAGATATTTATACCAAGACGAAAAGGAAATATTTAGAAACAAAAATAATATTTATATATAGATAGTGAGAGATGTGCATACACGCATATCGCATATATGCGCTTTTGTGCGAACCAATGAATATAGGTTAAAATATGATGTGAAAAGAAGTAACAAAAAGCAGAAACCATTTAAAAACGCATCGAATGAGCAAAAACCAAATGAATAGTTATAACAACTGGTTGTGTGTGAATCGTATGGGATTTCCAAATACATGTTTGCGACACAGATTGACTCTTTGGTGGTGATGTTGTTGTTGTTATTTTTTTCATGTCCAACGATTGCACCGTCATTCTAAGTGCTTGATTCTGTCATATGCAACATAAAATTTGTTGATACAACTTCAACCGAATGCAAAAGACTAAAAACCAAACGGTGGCACTTTGTGTGGCAAAAAAAAGGTAAAACTTCCTTGAAGTGATTTGAAGCACTTGGACTGACGTTGAAATACGAATACACGTACACAATTGGCGTACTTGATCGCATATCAACATATAAATCAAATGAAGTATATGCAGCGACGAGAGCACGAAAAGAATAACAACGTTCATCACATGCATAGTTATGCACAGGTCGCGATGTGCGAGTGTATGCATTACCAAATATCGGTATTTGTCGGTTCTCTGTTCTTTTTTCTTCTTCTTCTTGCTTTGCAATGAAATCGAATCGCGAGGTATGTATAATACCGCTTCGTCTCTTGTTGTTGTTGTTGTTGTGGTGAGCATTTAATTATCAAGCGCGGACACATACACAGTGCAACTTTGCACACATCATTTTGTCTGTGTATCTTTCGGTTGCGCGCATTAGGCGCACACCAATTTTTTTTCGTGTATTCATGAACACATTTTCGATTTCATTTTCAAATATGAATAAATGACACTGTGTATGAAAGCCGTATCATATCATCACCGTGACTTATAAGCCCACTTGCATACACCGGACTGCTTTTCATCTCCCTCATTCTCTCTCATTCTCTCTCTCTCTCTCCACATTATTATTATTATTGTTTAAACGAATTGATTGAGTGTCTGTATCTGTATGTGTGTGTCGGAGTCAATATTTTTTTCCCTGTCTTGGGATATTCTCAACACATTCTTTTCTAAATAGTCTTTCTGCTGTTGAAAACATTTACAATTCTTTCCTATACTTGTCTATTTTTGACGTTATCTATGCAATGATCTATCGCAAATTCGCGCAGCGTGAAAGAAAAAAACCCCGAATGTTATTAAAAATAACATCTGAATTTATGATACTGTGCCATTTTTCAATGCAACACCAAACGGTATTTGTTTCATATAAGAGTGAATGAGACCCGATGAAAGAAAAGACACGATATTTTTTTTTCTCCGCTTGACAGAAAAGAATGAGATTGCAGCAGAAGCAGTATCAGTAGTAGCAGAAAAAAATGCGGTTTTGATGTTTTAATGGCTCGAACGAGAAGATCACGCGATTTCAAATGAAAGTGAAAATCGACACACAAGATTTGAGTTTGTGTGGTGTGATGTTATGTATGCTTTTCGAGTTGATTGCACCAAATTTAATTGAGTTGTTGTTTGCCAAAATAAATTGAACTAATGTGTAAGCCGAAAACCAAAAAAAAAATCATCATCATCATCATCGTTTTTCATTTATATGAAAATTACGCATTGCATTGAGCATTTGATACACACATACAGCAACACACACACACACACACACAAATCAGACACAAGAGTTGTGTACATATCAAAAGAATTCGGCTGAAAAATACAATCACAGCGCAACCAGTGAAGTGAGAAGAGGAAACGAGACGAAGTAAATAAAAATAATATGTGTTGTGTATGGTCAAGGCATATGCGTAGAAATTGGTATCACTGTACCAAGATCGGGTGCGCGAGCGAAAGCGCACGTCGCGCGCTCATGCACAAAACCGCTTACTGCCACTTGACAAGTAAACAATTTCAGTGATATTGATTTTAATACACCTATAATGGAATGAAATGAAACAAAAAATCAAATAATAAGATAACAACCGCACTCTCTGTCTCGGTGATACAGTTTTTTTACAGCATTACATATGATAGAGAGTGGTTAGTCACTTTTTTTTTGTTTCTGACGAAAAACTCGGCAGACACGCATTCATCTCACGAATGTGACGAGAGAGAGAGAGAGAGAGAGAGAGAGAGAGAGAGAGAGAGAGAGAGAGAGAGATTCAAATTTTGCGTTATTATCAATTTTCCGCATTTTATACACGCTCCGATTCCGATTTCTACGTGTTTCCATCTATCAAGTGAGAAGCAATTCAGAGAACAACGCGTTCGATTCGATGACGACTAGCTGCTAAAAATAGGTTTATTTAAAAAAAATGAAGAAGAATTATGATGTGACGTAAAAAAAATGAGTCCCGGAAAAAAGTGCCGCTTTGATATGTGATAGCAAATATTCACACAGTGCGGCAGCCTATCCGATAGCTTAGTGGAATGGAATGGATTGAATGTATGGTTTCTCTACTCAAAATGCGAGTGAATGTGTTTATGTGTTTTGTGTGTGATCGAAATGGACATTCGACACTCAAAACCATTTGAGAGAATTATTCGAATTACTCGATGCTTGGATGCATTTGGCAGAGGTAAATTGGTCAGAACGAGAAAGAAAAAAAAACCAATTCATAAATAGTTTTAACCGATTGCCAAGCACTTTGCTTTCGTTTTCGGATAAAATGTCAAAAATTTGTGTCGAGAGAGTGTACTCACATTGAACATTGCGATTGTTCCAAATATTTCGCAGTTGCGTTGGATTGTGATAATAGTTTGGATTGAGGAATGGTCCAGGAACTGTTTGTGGTGCAACATGTGGTTGCAAGCCTAATCGTGCCTTCAGTTCCTCGCTGCATGGTTGACCGCCCGAACTCGAACTATCCACATCGGACACACCACTATCGGCTGGACTTGGTGGTAGAGATCCTGCATGCGTTGACAAAAGGAAAAACGAGAAAAAACACGCACATTGTTTGCCATTGTAAAAACAATTCGTTTGGATAATAAAATACTTATTAACAAATCATCTAATGGAATTCATGGATTCATACAATTCTATTTTGTTTGTTTAAGAGTAAGAGATAGTCCAACAATCAGAGTCGATCTTTTCAAGATGTATGGATTTTAAATTGAAAACTATGTTCCGAAACAATTCTACCAAAAAAAAACCTCAATCTTTTCCATTTATCTCCTGAAAACTTGTTATTTAACTCATTTTCGTGTCTGTATGTGCATTTTACAGTCGCCAAATGTGTACCGCCAAATTCTCTAGTTCGTTTTTTTTCGTCAATCATTTACCATATGCCCGAAAACTGACCAAATGTAATGGAATCGAAACGATGTAGACAGACTGGTTGCGTTTTTTTTGGTCATCGTCGTCAATAGAGGAACCGAAAAAATTTATTGAATTAATTTGAATAAATTAGTTTCCCATGGATGCATCATCAGACGCCGTTATCTTTTTAACGTATGCGGACGACGACTACTGTCGTTTTTGTTGCGTACGTTATGTCGAAACATTTCATTAGGAATGGTCACACCACATTTACGTGTGTAATTTGTGCATTACAAAAGCCGGTATGTGGCGCGCATACAGACACACCACCGTCTAGTGTAGTGGGTAAATAATTTCGTACCCTTGAAAATAAACAAGAAATTATTACGAGTTCTCTCCTTTTTTTCTTACTGTTTCTCTCTTGCGCTGTTGTTCCCCTAACACATTAAAAATCACCGAAATTTAATATGCGAAGAGGCGACGGAAGACACACACTCATTCGGCGGAAGAGAAGAGAAGGTAAAATCTTATTTGACCCATAAAATTTAAACGTTACACATTACTGGGATAATCAAAAGTTGAAAAGTGAATTTCTTCAGGTAGTTCAATTATAGGCGATTTTTTTTCGATAGACAAATTTTTCAGGCCAAAATTGATTGATTTCATGACATTTTTTTCATCGTATTTTGACTCCTTCTTGAAGAAATAAATAATTCACTCTTTTTTTTAAAGATCAAAAGCAGTTAGATTTTTTGAATAATTTGTTTTGTTTTCTTCAGTTTTCTTGTGAATATCACAAAATGTTTGACACATTTCTATCAATTGTAATGAAAAAAAAAACGCCAATTGTTCATTCACATTTCAATAATTCCACAGAATTCCGTTGTGGTGGTTGTTTTTATTTCATTTGAAAATAAAACGGTTTCTTCAAATTGAAAATTGAATCTTCGGTGAGTGTTTTCATTGCAATAAAGAATGAGATGTTGTTTTTTAGGGGGTTATTAAAGGAAGCGCTCTCTCCCTCTCTGTCTTTCTCTATGTCCTTTTTTTGCTATACTCATTCGTAATGTCTTTAAATTGAATCATCGCTTGACCAGTTGGTACACTATAAATTGGAATTGTGTACGGATGGACAAATGCCGTCGTCAGTTTTGACTAAATCGTTTGCAATTGTCCACATGTCTATTTTTCCTCTTTCTTCAAATGGTCTTCCGTGTCGACCGAACAAATTTCGTTTCTACCGGTATTGCACAATTGTTGTCAATGGTCAAATTTTAACCGAAATAAATCGAGAGAGAGATTTAGAAAGAACCCGAAACACAAAAAACACTCCCAAGACTGGTTTCCTCTTTGAAGCGAGGAATAAATGAAAAAAAAAATTTGGACATGAACTATCCTTTCAACTGATTAACATAATCAGTCCACAATATGAGGTGCGATCCATTCCATTGTCCAGAGCATTGAGCATTGCATTAGTTATCTAATGGATGTTCTTTGGACGAAACATCAGGTTTCTGTTTTTTTCGTTGCTTCTTTTTTGAAACGAATCCATTGAGGGCTTGACCGCTTGAAAGAAACTCACACGATTCAATGATGAGTCGTTCTTTGAGATCATCGGTTCAGAACCAACGAACATCTAACACATCTTGCGCAATTCATCTCTTGTGCCGCCGTCACGACATCGTATAATATTCAAATTCAAGTCGATCAAAGGGATTTTATAGACTAATGAAAACTGGAAATCGGTCATCCCGAACAAATTTGGTAACCGAAAATTCGAATTCAAATTCTTAACACTGCTTATTGTCTACGTATGTGAATAAGATGCGAGCTCATCTCACTTTTCAGCATCCACGAATAATTTTACAATCAATCTACAGAGAATCTGGTGTCGTCTATTGAACAAAAAACAAACAAACAAACAACTGAACACATTGAGACACACATTTCAAATGATTTTCATAACGTGTTTTAAACGTCGACATTTGTATGAAATTGCGTTAAAGGACACAACACAGACAATTTTTGAAACAAAAATTCCGTTATAAAATTTCCGTTAACGCAATTTTCGATTTTTGTTTAGGGACGATCCGACTTAAATTAGAAACAGAAATCGATTCACTCGGTTTATTCATCCGTTTGATGATTGATATTTGCATTTTTTGTTTTGATAATCGCCAATTTTGATTTTTAAATTACATTTTCTGTAGTTTTTCCGTTCATTTTTAGCATTTGATCATTTTTGTCTACTTATCTAGTCTTTAAATTAGTTATTGTCAAATTCAAACTGACCTGTACTCGATGTACAATAATTTCTGTGATATGGTGTTGCCGTTCCGCTTAATAAGTTATGCAGCAATGGTCGATGCGATAACTGTTGCTGTTGCTATTGAAAAAATTGAATGAAAATGTTTGTGGTCGTTTAGTTTTGGTACGATTCATTGGAAAACTTTGCACACAAAGTTTACGATTAAATAAATATACGATTTTTTGCTCGTTTTTAACTTTTTATTAGGGTCAAAAAAGTTTTTGGAAAATCGCATGCAAAAAAAAGATGGAATTTTCGAAGAGCCACTGACCTGTTTTTGTTGTTGCTGGTGATGATGGGATGTTTGAAGATGATTCCGGTGGGTTTGATGATGTGTCTGTTGTTGGTTTTGATGCGATAGTTGTTGTGGTTGGTTGTGTGTCGGTAGCGCTGGTGGACTCGATGAGTGCTTTATAATCGGTATTTCTGTATCAACTGCAGCGAGAAAAGCAATTGTTTGAAATTAATTCAACGATGAATTTGATGAAAAAAGAAATGCATTTCAAGAATTTAAATTAAAATCAAGTAATTTTCTTCACTCCGGCATGAGGTACTTCTTGGAATAGTACAATGACTCATAAGGTGGACTATAAGATTCGGAAAGTGGTCATTTTCTGAATAAATTCCAATCTTTCTGAATTTCTTTTCCTTTAAAATGTAGTTATAATTTGAATAGACTTTTCTTCTATGCTTCAATTAAAATTTTCGATATATTTCCGTAAACGGTTCGAGGAGTTTGGTCAACTAGTTCAAATACATATGCTCTATAAATAATTAAAAAAAATTCCTTAAGATAGAACGATTCATAGTATTTCTTAGACAAATATAGAAAATATTTGTAGAAATTCACTAAAGAAAATTGAATAGAGTTTGTTCGTACCGTCATAATCGCTATCCCACCCACAAAAAAAAAATCAAAGTCAAAAACCACGGGACCATAAAGAAGCGATGTAAAAAGTTGACGTTTGAATTTTCTTTAATAATTTGCATAGTAAAATGTTTTAATTATTCGGTAATAAAAGTGATTGTGTTGAAGAGACGAACAATGTGCTGTGGAGCGTGTAAGTGGCATGATCATATCGAAGAAATGTGTATCCCATTTCCACGTTTTCCCAGCAGCAGCTCTCACACTCAGGACGTGTTATTTCGTGACATTATGTCGTGCGATACATAAACGGCGAAATGAGAGACAAAAGTGTGTTTTACTCTCCATTGCGCATGTATATGTGTTGTGGACGTTTTTCTCTCTCTCTCTCTCTCTCTCTCTCTCTCTCTCTCTCTCTCTCTCTTTTGGAGTGTATGTCGTTCTTTCGTTTGGTCGCTCTCTCGTCTTTTTAAATGGGTACGCTGCACTCAACCCATTTCGATCAATATGGCTAGACATTTCTCCAGCGCGCCTTCTCGTTCAATGCTCGGAACTCTCGAGCGCGCATTTCTCTCGTGATCTCACCCAGAGGAGTGAATTATTCCGATACATATTTCGATATATCCATATCAAACGAAAAAAAAAAGTATACGTAAACAGGGATAACTTTCCCTTAAATGTAGTCGCCTCCTCCGTGCACTCATCCCAACCACCGAATTTTATTTAAGTCAACAGAAGCGAACAGTCGAAAAAGGTCAAAGCAGAAAAAACATTCGAACGGAACTCGGTTTCACGAAACTGAAACGGAAATATGGAACTGAATGTTTGAAGCGCTCGAGTTGGGACAACAAAAACAACAAGAGAAGAAGAAAAAATGTATGTGATTAATTTGCTTAAGTCAAATTGTGCAGATGGAACGAAGCGATAGCAACCAACATCGAAATATGCAACAACTATAAAATATTATGGCGCACCTTCAAAAGTCATTTGCTGTTGCTGTTGCATGTGCACATATTCGACAAATTCAATGCATTAATATATTGTTTCGGGTAAGTAAAGCTTGATAAATAACTCACACACACACAATACGCTATGTAGACGAGATGCAACGGTAACATCGAAACGATTTGTATATAATATTTTATTTCGTTTACTAATGCACGGCGTACATTAATATGCTTAAGGAATCAAATACGGGTTTCGGATCACAAAAGTACACACGAACACACACGAGCACGCGCGCGCTCATATTTTGTGCGGGCGAATGAATGAGCGCTCGCATTCGCTCATTTGTTTGCATTTCGATTCCGTTCATTCACTACCCTTGCATCCATCTGATGACTTTCAATAACCTTTGCCCAGAAAAACGACAGAGAAACACACAAAGAACGAAAATGGGAGAAAAAAACGCCAATTTCCACTCACTGTGCGCTTTTCATTACATAAGATCCGAAGAGTTGTCTGTTTTTTCTTTCTACTTTTACTTCTACTTCTTCTTCTTCTTCTTCTTCCTCTTATTATTATTATTATTTCAATATCACACTAAAATCTCGAGCTTTGAATGTAAATGTACATGTACATTGGCACGTTTCGAAGTCATTTTTGGGGCTTTGGTTTCATTCTTACTCGTATATCTTTAGTGTGATGCAATTTAGCATGTGATCCCGAATGTAAATAACGCTAGAATGTGAGAGCCGAGAAGCGAGTGCGAACGGAGTGAATGAGCGCACGGGCGCGCGCGCGCATTCTCACACGAAGCGAGCACACACTTTGACTCTGTGTATCGTGGCTAATACATAGATAATTGTGGGCAATGGACTAAAAGTGCATGTAGTCAAAGCTTCCCACATGAATTGCATGTATGTGACATGGATGCACGCTATATGAAATTGAAAGTGAAATGTTTATGAGGCGAGGGGATTGTTTTTGTTGCCGCGCTGTTGCTGCTGCTGCTGCTGCTGCTGCTGCTACTGCTGCTGCTGTTGTTGTTTTTGTTTGCGCTGTCAATTTTCCGCCCGTTCCTTTGCTTTTGTCGTCGCGTGCTGCTTTGTAGGGTGACGAAGAGAGTGTGAAAGAGAGTTGCGGTTTCGCATTTTCCGTTCCCCAAAGAAATGTGCACACATTTTCGAGACAACATGCGTTAGCATTTTCGCCTTTCGCTCGCTCGCAACATGTCACACAAAAACTAATTGATCTAGAATGGCATTAGGACGGCAGAGTCCGGTGAATATCGTTTCCCGGGAATAGTTTATGATAATTTGTGCTAATTGTTTCAATAGTTCGGTCGCCCGAACGAACGAGAAAGTTGAATCACCTCATAAAATGTACAATTTTATTTTTGTCGCTGTTGTTTCCAAAAAAGGAAATCATTTAAAAGTTTTCTCCCATTTTCAAGCAACCCCATCCAAGCCGTTAAGGGCTTATATCATATTAATTACCACGCGTTTTTGGAAACGAAAAATAGTGTTGGAAATGGCACAATCTTGATTCCCTTCTATTCGTGTTCATCGAACATTCCCATTTTTTTTCTTGGTTTCTGCATTCAAAATTGACTCGGTTGGTTTTTTTTTCTTTGTTGTATTCGCTCGTTTTTTTTTCTCGTTTATTTTGACAGTACGATTTTCACCCGGATTATATCGTCGACAACTCCCCAACGGCGACAACAACGACGACGACGACAAATACCGTATACACCATAGTGCTGCGTTAGATGTAATACATTACTTTATTGCACATAGCACACTTATATACTCTTTTAACTGGTGAAAGTGCATTGGTCTTATAAGACTCTATATCTAATAGATATTATCTTCGTGTGCAACAGCATATCCGTAAATCGCAAACGAGCGCGCAACATCGACTACAAAAAAACAAACCATGAATTCGTACCATGGAAAATATACGGTCGTCGATTTCTTCTTGTTCTCAACCAACAGATAAAGAGAAAAACAGCGGATTTTTTTTCTTTCGGAATTCAATTCAAATGTGAATTAAATTACAAATTTCACACGTAATGACTAAAATACTCGCGAATGAAATGTCACTGCGGTTGATTTAGCATTTTTTTCATTTACAGCGAAAATGTTGAAAGAAACTGCGCAGCTCTTAGACGAGTTCAAAGGTAGAAGCAGAATGCAAACTTTTATACGGGACTTAATGAACAATAGTTATTCCTCTTTCATAGGCCAATGAGTCATAGCCGAAATATCAGAGCCATAGGTCATTGATTGAACCCGCTTTTTTGGGTTTAAAACATTTGATCGAGAGAAAAAAAAACTTCGGAAATTGGACAAATTTGCATCAAATAAATAAATTGTGTACGAATTTGAAACAAATAAGCTTACAAAATGATTGTCAATTAAATAAATTTTCAAAGAATTGTAATGCTTGATCAAACATATCGTTAATGCTAACTTAATGATGCATTCGGTTTCGTTTTTTTTTTCATTTTCCATTTATGAAACCGTACAATTCGTAACAATATTGAGATAATCTGTTTGAAATAGATAGAGTGAGTGGTATTAAATATAGGCATTAGAGAAATCTGTTGAGCGGTATATAATCATTGTTTCAGTGGATTTTCTTGGTTGCACCTCGGCTTAATGTTCATCACATCCACAAAGCGATGCAAGTTAAGAAAAGCAAAAAAAAGAAGAAGAAGAATAAGAGAAAAGAAAAACACATATTGTAATTACGCATAGAGAGCCAAACAAAACAAACTCAGTGCAAAAGAAGCAAAACAAAAACAACTCCAACGTTTATGATAATATTAACGATAAATATATTGATTCCAAGATTGGAAAAAAATTTCTTTCGCTCATGTGTTTTTCTTTCGTATCTTTGCGAAACAGAACTGCAGAAAATGGTGTATGTGTTTGTGTGTGAGCGCAAAAGAGAAATACAAAATACTACACACAGAAACCAGGACAATGCGTAATTGTTTTTCGCAATAAAAACCGTAGCCGTGCATCGATGCATCGGCGACTGTTAAGCCAGCCCAGCATAACGGCGAGTGAAATTTCAAATGGTTCCGAAACGAAATCAAATGAAAACGAAGAAGTGATCATAGCGTTTGTAAAAAGTAAAAGCAAGTGAAAAATGGCACCGGGGTATGCATGATCATAGTGAAACACATCGAGTGCAGCTGGCATACGTGCGCACAAACATGTGTTGCTACACTTTTTTTTCTTCTTGTGTCTTCCTTTCTTTCTTCGTTATTGCAGCTTTATCACAGTAATTGTGAAAATGGAAATGTTAATGAAAATGAAAACGAATGCGAAGAGCAGATGAAATACTGCATTCGTGAAGAGGAAGAGAGAGAGAGAGAGAGAGAGAGAGAGAGAGAGAGAGAGAGAGAAAGAGAGAAAAACGCACGCATTTTTGTTGTTGTTGTTGTGAAAACGCGTGGAAAATTAGTGGGTCCTTGGTCACGGTTAAAAATACAATCGAATAAAAGAGAATGTATGAATTGATAACCGTATTGACTTCTATTGCTTGATAGGAATTCATGTGTGTGTGAGTATTTTTTGGTAAATTATTTTCAAGTGGGCCAAATTCTCTCTATTATCTC